AACTCTACACTCCATTCCATGTCCAGTTAACTCTACACTCTATTCCACGTCCAGTTAACTCTGAGCTCTCTTTGCTCAGCCCCAGCCACACTATGCCATGGGTGCTGGGACTCCTCCTCACAGGTCCTGACCAGAAATAAAGACACCTCCCCTTTCGTACCCAAACATCCTAGCCATTCATTCACCAGGAAACAGGGCTTAGAAATATCCATAGAACTGGATTCAAGAGGGTTTGGTGGGAGTAGGTGCAGGGCTTTAACTCATTTTCTGGGGTGACCCTCATCTGGCACCTTGTTATAGCCAGCTAGGCAAGAAGGTGGGTCATTCTGCTTCAAACGTCCAACTGAAGGACATCCCAGCAGGCAATGTGGGGCACACCACTCACCAAGAACTCGGCAGATCCAGGCGAAGCCACGCTGCTCACGGCAGATGGCCTGTGGGTGGGATTCCACACCATGGTTTTCAGTCAACACTCTGGCGAAGGTAGGTGGGGTGGAGGCCGAGGCTACTGTAGCCCCCAATCACAATAGGCAAAGATCCCTGAGGACTTGCTCGGCATATGGCCTCCTCCCGTAACTAGCCTCACAGACTCCTTAAACAATGCTCCTCAAACACCAGCTGCACCAGAACCACCGGAGGGCAGGATAAAACAGACTTCTGGGTCTACCCCCAGTTTCTGACTCAGAGGTCTGGGCAGGACCCGAGAATCTGCATTTCTAACAAGCTCCCAGGGCATGCTGATGCTGCCGTTCGGGGAACCCCACTGTGAGAACCGATCGCTAGTCTGGAATGGAGGAGCACCGTGCCTCCACAAGGCACCATCACACCCAGAGTTTTGGTGAATGCTCAAAACCCTGTTCTGGGGGCCAGCTCAGCCTCCCAGGGGGGGTGACCAAGGTGGCTGCCCTCACCCCTGGAGGACCTGCAGTGGCTCACAGCCAGCAGGGAACAAAAAGGTGAAACATTCAGGGGCCAGTATGAATTCCGATGACCAACAGCCAGATTCTGGGCTACCGGCAGGCTCTCAGTGCCGTGGCTGGTCCAAGGGTGGACTCAGCCCTGACAATATCCCCTCCCTGTGGTCATCGAAATTCAGGGAATGAGTCTCCCAGCCTGAAAGTTACAGCCTTGTGGAAAACAGAAGCCAGGGTCGCTGGGCCCGCCAACATTTCAGAGAACATGATATCCCAAGCCCGGATCACTGCACCCCGCTCATGAACTCCTGCAGGCGGCCCCGCACGCCCAGCACCAAGGAGCCCAACAGCCCACTGCCGCGACAGGAAGCCACTGTAGGGNCCAGCAGGAGTAGTTGCTTCCAAGCACTGCAGAGACGGCAGCCACTGGGTCATTCTGCCCCATCTGGCTTACTTGGACGTCAGTATCTATTTCCAGATTCAGAGCACTGTTGCCTCCAGGTTGGGTGGCAAGGCAAGCAGGGCAGGAATCATGCCCATGGGCCTTCTCCCTGCTGCTTGGGCTGCTGCTCCAGGCCCTGTCCCCACCCGGGGCCCAGCCACCTGTGGGTGCTGCAGGGAGGGAGGCTGCTCAGGAGCAGCTGTGTTCTGGCCACAGGACAGATGTACAGTCATGAGGCAGGTAAACTGTCATTGGAACAAATGGCAGAGACTGCAGACGGAGCTGTGGGTATCATAAAGAGAAGGAAAACGCATCCAGAGACGGGACTGCCAGCATTGCCATGCTGCCCTGATGGCATTTCTCTTCCAGCTTGCCAGGCTCCGTACAGCAGAGCTGATGAGCAGGGTGCTGGGCCTGTAATTAGGGCCCCAACCAGGACATTCTTGAGGGTGAAGGGAGGCCATGAGTAACTAGAGCAGCAGGCAAAGGTGTGCGTGCCTGGCTGGGGCATAGGGTCTGCATGGTGAATGTGGTCACCCACGTAGGAACGATTGGGCTATCAGTCGTTCTGAGGTGTGTTTATGTGTGAACAGGGACGGTGGCGCTAGTTATCATCTGCTGAACACCTACTAAGTGCCAGGTGCTGCCAGGGCACTTTCTATGCATCATCACTGACAGAGACACGATGGGGTAAGGTGGCGTGCGTCCACGGGGTAAGGTGGTAGAGTGAGGAAAACAAGGCCAAGGTTGCACACGCAGTACATGGCGGGCATACCCAGGCCTCTCAGACTCCAGGCTCTGTGCTGGGCCTAAATCCTGGGCCCACCACCCATCGCAGCAAGACCCGTGAAGATTGACTAGGACCTCCTGCCCTTTGTCACCCACAGGAGAGACAAAGGAGCTCTCGATGTGTTTCTGGGCCCTCCCCAGCGTAGGAATACCTTCTGCAGCTAGTCGAACACCCACACCTGCTGGGGCTCTTGTCTGCAGCTACAGCATACACAGAAAATCCCAACACATTCATCCCAACCAGCTTTGATTCCAGGATCGTCACAAGTAATTGCTCTGAATTCCAAATCTGAGCAGGATGGCGCAAGCTTGATACTAAAATGTAACAAAGTGGTAACCAAGGGGAGACTCCGGTGAGAGTGTCTTCTTAATTAATGTTTGGCTGCTATAATTTGTGTGGATTCAGCACTATTAGAACACAAGTGTCCCAAGCATTTGCTTTGGTTCCGGTGATTAATACATTTATCAAACTGTCCAAACAAAAACACGGTGAATTCTAAGCTGGTGGGTCTGGACCCCCAGGGCTTTCCTGCTCCTGTGTGGATGCGCATCTGTCACACATGTGCATTGATGGGACCTTAGAGTTCCTGGGCTTCCCAGGGACTAGAGCTTTCACCCTTGGGTGGTGAAGGGGAGGACAGGGGTGACAGGAAGGAGTCAGAGGTAAGCCCCTGCCTCCCCCCTTAGGCCCCTGCAGTGCCATGTCTGGAGCCACGACATGCTTAGGGACCCACAGGAATGCTTTCATTTTAATTTCCTTTAAAAGCAGAAGGAAAATGAACATAATAATAAAGCCAATCTGGTACTATTCAACTTTACAACCAACTACATGTAAAATGTTAATTTTAGCATTTTTTATGGAAGGGACCCATGCAAGCAGGAGCCCAGACCTATGGGAGTCTCAGTGCAGCCGGACTCTGGGTCCTGGCCTCAGGGTCCTTTCCTGTCTCAGGTGAGGCCTGTCTACCATCACAAGTCTCCCAAATGTGGCCCAGGATGGAGAAGGCTGCTTTCTTCCTGGCAGAGCCGAGGGGAACTACTTCACCTGCTGTTTGCTGCCTTGTTCTGGGAGGAAGTGACCAACTGCACTGGCAGGGATGGAATAAAGCCCTAAGCTGCCCAGAAGAATTAGCCACAAAGCAACAAAACACCATCTGCTGCTGCCTGCCCTCCAGGGGAGGCAGGGTCGGCATCTAACTGCCCAAGAGCTAAGTCACAATTCAGTGGGGGGCGGTTTGCTGGCCACAGAGTTCCCTGCCTCCCAGGTCAGACTCTGAGGTCAAGGGAAGTCTTGCTGCATTGCCGCACTTAGGGTTTGGACTCCGGTGCCAAACTCCTGAGGTTTGAGTGCTAGCCCCTTGCTAGCCATTTAACCTGAGTGTGCCTCAGTTTCCCTGGGCTGTCATGAAGACTGACAGAGAACATGTGCATTATCTCGTAGACACCCTTAGGCGCACCCTTGGAGCAGCACCTGGCACAGAATGACCGTTCATTAATGGTGTCACTGTGATTATTATTAATCATCTCTTGCTTCTTTGTCTTGAAACAACTCTTATAAGGTGCCAGGGAAGCTACTGAACTATAGCGTCTAAATAGCTTTCCTCTTGGTTTGCAAACAGAGCTCCCTGCCTTGCTTGGGAAAACACTCTATTCCACGTCAACTCTACACTCCATTCCATGTCCAGTTAACTCTACACTCTATTCCACGTCCAGTTAACTCTGAGCTCTCTTTGCTCAGCCCCAGCCACACTATGCCATGGGTGCTGGGACTCCTCCTCACAGGTCCTGACCAGGAATAAAGACACCTCCCCTTTCGTACCCAAACATCCTAGCCATTCATTCACCAGGAAACAGGGCTTAGAAATATCCATAGAACTGGATTCAAGAGGGTTTGGTGGGAGTAGGTGCAGGGCTTTAACTCATTTTCTGGGGTGACCCTCATCTGGCACCTTGTTATAGCCAGCTAGGCAAGAAGGTGGGTCATTCTGCTTCAAACGTCCAACTGAAGGACATCCCAGCAGGCAATGTGGGGCACACCACTCACCAAGAACTCGGCAGATCCAGGCGAAGCCACGCTGCTCACGGCAGATGGCCTGTGGGTGGGATTCCACACCATGGTTTTCAGTCAACACTCTGGCGAAGGTAGGTGGGGTGGAGGCCGAGGCTACTGTAGCCCCCAATCACAATAGGCAAAGATCCCTGAGGACTTGCTCGGCATATGGCCTCCTCCCGTAACTAGCCTCACAGACTCCTTAAACAATGCTCCTCAAACACCAGCTGCACCAGAACCACCAGAGGGCAGGATAAAACAGACTTCTGGGTCTACCCCCAGTTTCTGACTCAGAGGTCTGGGCAGGACCCGAGAATCTGCATTTCTAACAAGCTCCCAGGGCATGCTGATGCTGCCGGTCGGGGAACCCCACTGTGAGAACCAACAGCTAGTCTGGAAGGGAGGAGCACCGTGCCTCCACAACGCACCATCACACCCAGAGTTTTGGTGAATGCTCAAAACCCTGTTCTGGGGGCCAGCTCAGCCTCCCAGGGGGGGTGACCAAGGTGGCTGCCCTCACCCCTGGAGGACCTGCAGTGGCTCACAGCCAGCAGGGAACAAAAAGGTGAAACATTCAGGGGCCAGTATGAATTCCGATGACCAACAGCCAGATTCTGGGCTACCGGCAGGCTCTCAGTGCCGTGGCTGGTCCAAGGGTGGACTCAGCCCTGACAATATCCCCTCCCTGTGGTCATCGAAATTCAGGGAATGAGTCTCCCAGCCTGAAAGTTACAGCCTTGCAGAAAACAGAAGCCAGGGTCGCTGGGCCCGCCAACATTTCAGAGAACATGATATCCCAAGCCCGGATCACTGCACCCCGCTCATGAACTCCTGCAGGCGGCCCCGCACGCCCAGCACCAAGGAGCCCAACAGCCCACTGCCGCGACAGGAAGCCACTGTAGGGTCAGAGCTTCAAGCTACCCTGTTTTGGAAGAGATGGATTAGGCGGACCCAGGGACACATGGCTGCTCCTCACCGGGAAAGGATCAACAAGTGCACTGCAGGGGAAGCACCACCCCTAAAATACCTGCATGCTGTCCAAGGTGTTCTGGGGGGAGCAAAGTAAGACACAGTTACAGGAGATGCTGTAAATAAAAGCAAGTGCCTGCTTACCACCACACCCTCCACTGCCTTTTCTGGCTTTCAAACCAAAGCACATTAGGACTGCTACCACACGTCACAGCGCACGCTGCCCTGAGGGCGCAGCTCAGAAGGCGGATTTAAACAACACAGGTGATCAAAATAAATGGGCTTCGGGTAATTGGAAAAAGGCTCTGCTTGCAGCCCATGGTGACGCAAAACTTAGTACTGTGGGCGACTTCTGCGAGGAAGGCGGGGGTGGGGAGGAGCTCAGTTTCGCCCCTGGAGACATGTGGCTTTTGAGGTCTGTTCCTTTCTCCCAGGTTCTCTATTTAATCACCTGCTGTTCATCATACACATCCCTCCAGGTATTCATTCATTAGCTAAGGGACGCTTTCAATCAATCAATTTTAATATATATATGATGATAATGATGGAGCCTTTTCCTGCGGGAGAAATGGTTTTTAAAAGGCCTTTTGAGAGAGGCATATATTGTGTTTTAAGTGGCTGCTATTCCCCTGGGGGCAAAGGCCATCTTAGCAAAGGCAACACATCCCCTGTCTGGAGATGGCAGGCCCAGGGGAAGGGTCCTCCTGGCCTTTCTTGATGAAATGGAACCAGGGAAGGAGGCCACCCAGGGCCAGCCTCACCTGCTTGTGCAACCACCGGGCTGCTGTGTCTGTAACTAAGGCGTCATGGCTGCATGACCTCTGCCTTGGGCAGGCAGAGGCCTGGCCTGCTCACTGGGCCCGTTTATTATGCATGAGGGATGCAGATGACAAAGGCCGGGTGGCCCCACGAGTCCCGTCCAGGCCGGCTATTTGCCCACCCCCAAGAGGCTGGCATTGGGCCGCGAGCCAGGGACAGAGGAGCAGTCTCTCCTCCAGGTCACCCCTGCTGGCGGGCACTGGCCAGCTCCCCTGCCAACTCCACCAAGGTGGTGAGAAAGGCTCTGGGTGGCCGCGGAGGGCCCCTGGGAGGCAGCTGGGGCAGTGCCTGCAATGGCACTCATGGCTTTGGTTACTGGGCTTCTCTAATTCTGCAAATGCCCCCAGATACCAAGTGCCAAATGCTTCCTCCAGAGCAGAGCTGTGGCATAAAATGTACTCTGTACAACTCATCTGATGGCAGGATGCCCACAGGACCAGCGCCTCATCCCCATGCAAGGGAGGGTCCGTCCTCCTTGCTTTCCACGCGGAAGGAGGCAGCAGAGGAGAGCAGACAGACCTGAGGCCCACAGCTCAGATGCTGGCTGTGTGGCTGTAAGAAAATGACTTGACCTCTCTGTGCCCCACATCCTCATGGGTAAAACAGATGCTGTGATGGCACCTCTGGTGTGGATTATCTGTGCAGCCATGTGGGAGTGTGGTGCCAGTGCCTCAGCTGGCGCTAGGTACATTCAGCCACTGTCTCTGTTAGACATTAATGCCATCCTGCCACACTCTGCCCACCCCCAGCAAGCCAGCAGGCTCCTGCCTTACCTCTAGCAGCTGCACAGCACCTTCATGCTCCTTCTTAGCTTCAACCTGAGCCTTTTTGAGATAAAAAGACAAAAGAGTAAATGTTTAAAGGAGGGAGAGAGAAGAGAACGGACAAGCATGTAAATTATCAGGGAATGGGTCATTTTCACCCCCTAATGAGCCTACAATTTTGAGTGTCTCAGTCAGTTCCCATTTTTCCCTGCTTTGGGCAAGATGGCATGGATTTTTGTCGGCTCTGGTGCTCTTTGTGTGAATTGGCAAGGACGCCCGGATCCACCATTGAACTGCCAGGCTGGTGGGAGCCAGTCAAAGCACGAGGGTGGGAGGCCCCCAGCCTGTTCCTGAGAAGGGCTCACACACAGGCAGCTGAATCCACAAGGGCAAGATGATTCTCCCCAAAGCCTATCTAGTACTGTCATTTCCCCAAATGCCCTCAACTACTTGGGAAACAAATATAGTCATGAGAATTTGACCCTCAAGTAGCTATAGGTCTGCTGAGGTCTCCCTCATCCCTGAAGGAGGGGTGCAAGGGGGTCCTGAGCACAAACAGGCTCTCAGTGGCTCAGTGGAGCAGCAGGCACCCTTTGCAAATTACTTGAAGCAAAGCCATTTGTTCTGTGGAATGAAAACATTTTACGAATTTCACTAAAGAAATTTTTCAGGACGGCTGCTGCCTGGGCCAAATGGTGCATTCATACAAAACTGAAATGCAGCATGACGCCTCCTGGTCCCCACAGACCCTGGGGTGCCACAGTGATGACAGGAAGTGTCAGTTGCACTTGTCTGCCTGGTATACGTGTCCTCCTCTCCTGAGAAGGGCCTAGACATTGCTGGGGATCCAGCCCCCCTACAAAGACTCTCAGGGATTAGTTGACACGTGGGTGGATGGTCCAATTGGAGCAAAAAGGCTTTGCCTGGGAATGCTGGGAGAGAAAGGCCTCTTGTCTGCTGGACTTGAGCCTGAGTGGAGGAGAGCCTGGAGCAGTTGCAGCCACCTTGCCACCATGAGGGGCAAGGCTAGCATGGAAGGGCCCCCATATGAAAGCCAAAAACAAAGCCAATGCAGAGGAGAGCAGAGGCAGGAGAGGAACCAAGGTCTGATGGGATTTGGGAGGGGCTAGATTCAGTCACATGTGGAGTCAGCTGGTTTGGGTCCTGTATCTAGCAAAATCTGAAGTAGAATTCCTTTTGTATGTGCAACTACAATTCCCTTTTTGTGTTTTCTGTCACTTGAAACCAGGAGTCCCACTGAACAGTCGTCAAGTGTTGAAGACTGTGATGCTTTCCACTTTGAAGCTGGAGACCCTGAAGTTCAGTGAGAGTCTGAAGTTGACTCATAAGACAGAGAAGAAAGGCCTGCACTGCCCCATCGCCATGTCAATGTGCCCATCAAGCCAGCTTCAGTGGCCACAAAGACTCTCCCAATGAAGCAGAGGAACACCAGCTTGTAAAGCAGATTATGCCCTGACATCATGGGCCCTGCCTCTTAAGATCAGACACTAATAAAGAATCCACATACTAAACTGAGATTCACAATTAGAATTCTTGATTCTGGAGGAATTTTTCTCTGGGCACCTGGAGAATAATGAGTGGTAGGCTATTCAACACCATGAATAGGCTAATGAACCACATCTGTAGTTCTCACTCACAAAGGTCTGTGGTTTAGGAAGAGTGGGGAGCTTGGCTTCCCCAGCACAGACTCCAGGTGAAAAGCAGTCTGAGATCACCAAAGGTCACGTGTGTGCATTTCATCCTCACACAGTTCCGGTGAGGTTTTTAAGAACTGAGGAAGTAGAGAGATCACAGCATATTGAGTCCCCTATTCTTGAACCCAGCTCAATCTTCAAATGCTTAAAATTGTTCCTCTCAAAGCAAAAACAAGAGCAACAATAAATAACGAAACAGGAAAAAAGACAGATAAGCAGAGAACATGTAGGGATTATATAAATAGCAGTGCCATTGAGCCAGCCGAATCAAAGATAGTTTTCAACTGGCAGGAAACAACCACAAAAACTCCACAGCGAGCTGGTAAAACTCAGCCAAGTTGGCAGTAACAACTTAGCTCCGGCTTCAAGTGACAATCAGAAGTTCGTTTTTGTAGGCTACTTGCAAGCTGGGCCATTTGGGCAATCAGAATAGATTGTTAAAATTAACAGCTGAAATTAGCACCACTGAATTCCTGCAAAATCTAAGCACCAGCTTAAACGAGGCTCACTTCAGGGGCTGCTGCCAATCTGTGGGGAAGCTGTGACCTTCATGTAGACACAATTGCCTACAGAACAAAGTGAGACTTGAGAGGTACCATGACTCTTGGGGGGTAACATGACAGTCTCAAGCTTGCGGGCTCATCTTGGGGTCCATGAGGATGAGGACAAGAGAGCAGCCACTGGGCCTGGTGTCCACATGCAGGTGACTTAACAGGAGCCACCTCTCTGGGGATGACAGTGGGGTCCCATTACAGTGGGTTCAGGAAAGGCAGGAGTCTTTGGAGACACCTCACCCTGCCTCTCAGGGACCTCAGGCCGTCTGGTGACTGCCTCATGCTGGAGGGACAAGGGTAGACCAGTGGACCCCAAGGTGCAACGAAGGCATCACAGCCTCATGGGCTGAGAGCAAAGCCAGCTTCTGTGGCTTCTCAGCCACGTGACATTCGGCAAGCTCCATAAGCACTCTGGCCATCAGCTTCCTGGGTTCAGAAATGGGCTGATAATCATAGCATGTACTCCACGGGGTTGGAATACATCAAGCAAGGTCACTCACACAGAAAGGAGGCACTGTCACCCCAGTGCCCTGCCTGTCTCAGGGCAACATTGCCTGTTGCTTCCATAGCATTTCCTAACCCCGAGACTTCCCAGCCAGGAAAGGCAAGTCTCAGTTTCCCTGATCCCACAGCCCGGCCCATGAGAGCTTATGTAGTAAAGAGGATGTCCCCTCCACTATGTTTGTATCAGACCTGTAAGCATCATGGTGCCCATTTACATTCCCCTTTATAAGTTAGTGCTTTTGCCCCCTCTTCTGGAAGCTCCCCAACCTTTAGACTCAATGGGGCACATTGCAACGAAGCCATGCGTTTGGGCTCCTGCAAGACTCTGAGACCTGAAAACTCAGTTTGTGCTTTTTTAGTGTAAACAGCAAAGGAGTTGCATGGATCCCTGAGTCTCACACATCCACCTGGCTGTCTTTCTGTTTTTCTGTGAACAGTTTGAGCTAAATTAAATCACCCTCCTTATTGGAATAACTTGATTGTAGTTATGGCCATTCATGACTCTTTTTAACTTTTCATTTGAGTATATGAACAGGAAAATGTACATTTCACAAGTGTACATCTCAACGTGTCTGGGACTGAATGCCCATAGATCCAGAACAGAATTGGCAGCAGAGGACTTTTCCCTCCTGCCCAGATGTGCAGAAGTGTCTGGAAGCCTGAGGTAGGAGAGTTGTCCTCGACCTCTCCTTCCCTCCACATCCCACCCACTGCACCTCCTGCAGCCAAACGAGGAGCAGCTCCACCAGCTCTTCTTCCTGGCTGTTCCTGAAATGTGCTCGCCTCTCTCCACCTGTATGGCCACCACCCCATCCTAACACACCACGGTGGTGCCAACCCCTCCACAAATCAGTGTCCACGTAGCAACTAGTGGGGACCCATCATTCCCCTGCTCGACCCTGGGACCGCCACAGCTTCACTTTCCCTTGGAATGAAAACAAGCTCCTTCCTGCAGCCTACAGAGCCCTGGGTGCGGGGGCACCTGAGGGCACATGTCCTGTGTCCCCGCCACAACCTGGCATCCTCCTGCAAGCCCAGCTCCTCCCCGCGTGGGGCCTGAGCACTTGCTACTCAAGTCTAAAGTCGTCCTCATCAGCCATCGTGTCATCCCACCTCCTTCCTTCATCCATTCACACCAAATAGGCAGAACCCTTCATGCACGGGGCAAGCTCCCCCAAAGTGAGGTATGGCCCAGCCTTGCCCACTGCTGCTTCCTGGCTCCAGAACATCGGATGTGTGGATGACAGAGGATCCAGCAGCCAACATTTGTGAGATGAATGAGTGAATGATGCCAGTCAGCACGTCTAGCGTGGACCATCGGAGGGGGAAGCCAAGTGGAAATAGGAACAGAAGAGAACTCACAGCTCTCATTCCCTGCAAGGTTCAACCTTGCTCTTCTCACAGTTTAAAGACTCTGAGCTCCAAGAAATCACAAAATCAGCACATCGGGTTTCATTAGCTTCTCTCCCTCAGCTCCCCCTACTGACGAAGCATCAGTGTGTCCAAAATGGAGACGAGGATGCACGCAGGAAAAAGGAGCAAAGAAAACAGTACGAAGCACAGGACTGGCGTGGGAGCTGAACAACGCAGCTGGTGCCACCGTGCAGCCTCCTTAGCACCTGCCTAGTGGATAAACCTCCAGGCTCCCAGAGAGGGCTCTGCTGAGAAAACCTGGCCTGTCACCCTTGCGCGACCATGTTTGTGTGTCTGCAGGCTGGTTATCTGTCTTGCAGCAGCTGGATTCCAAGGCTGCGATGCACAAGAGCGGCTGCCATGTAGGCATCTCCCAGGCTTGCTGCCTTGGGCCCAGCAATATCCTTTCTGGATAACATCTAATGAAATACTGCTTCTCAGCATGCCGGCCAACTTATTAGGACAGGTAATAAGGACTGTGAACTTCCCCATCAGCACTGGATTAATGAAATCTATCCTTCACACGAAGTCTCAATCGATGATTAAAGAAATGGCACCCAAATTATCCACCTTGTGCCATGAGCCCTGCTATAAACGCTGGGGAAAGAAAACCACGCCGGAAGGTTCCTATCCCCAGCCAGGCTAAGCAAGCTGCCACATGTCCTCTGTTTTGATATCAGACCTGGAAGAGCCCATGGGGCAGGTAGAGGGAACCCCACGAGAGGAGGTGTTGCCTGCCACCCACCCCAGCCTGGGCCAGGTGGGCAGCAGGTCAGTACCTAAGGGACGGTCCTCAAGCCCATTTGGAGAGACAGGAGGACCGCAGCTGCGCACCCTGCGCCATCTCAGGGCCATGCCCCCATCTGACTGCTCTGCCCACCTCCTTCCCGCTGCCTGCCTTCCTTTCTTCCCCCTCACCTCTCTTTCTTTATCTCCTTTGCTCCCTCCTTTTTGTGTCCCATCTCTGTGACTCTCTGTCTCTCTCCCTTTGTTAATGAGATCCTATTATAAGCAGTGTCTTGAAATTTGACTGGCTCCCTTACTAACACATCGTGTAACCCCAAGAGAGTGGACATAACCCAAGCCGTTCCCTCTGATGATGTCACAATGGCCCGTGTATGGATTTGCCACTACCAACGCAGCCAGGCCCTGGTCCATTCACCCCCCAGCAATGCCAGAAACCCCAAATCCTATGGAACTGGTCCCTGTGTCTCTTGCAGGGCCCGTTCCTGAATGGAAAGTTGCAGGGTTCAGATGTGATACAATCTTTCCACACTAGGTAGTATAGGGAGCCAGCTCAAGCAAGGGAAAGGCCGGTCTGCACCCACTCTGAGCACCCAGCGCCCTCCAACCCCCTGCCCCACAGCCTGCCAGCACGTACCCCCAGGCCACTCACCTTCTGCAGAAGGTCGATTTCCTGCTGCTTGGCCTTGAGGACGGCCAGGGCTTGCTCATGCTCCAGTTCCAGCTGTTGCCGCCGCTCTGCAGCCTCCCGCATGTGCTGTGGGGGGCAGGGCAGGGTCAGGCTGAGTGTGCAGGGGGCTGGCTGGGTGTCATCTGCATGTACAAGTGAGCCCCCCCAGCTCTGACTCAGCGTGGCAGGCACCTGCCCCTCTGCTTCCCCTGGGCTTTTCAGGGTGGGCGGGCACCCTGACACCAACAAGCTTCTGCTTGTTGTTTTCACCTTTTATAGTTTAAACGCCATGACCGACTAAGCAGAACTAAAGGATCTCGTGCAAAAGCGAATCCCTCTTCTCCCCGTTTTGAAAAAAAATCCTCTTTTCTCCCTTTTTTTCCCCAGGTCTTATACAAGTAACAGTCAAGGGTTACTGACCCAAGATCGTGTGTATTATCTGAACCTTTTTACTGCTATTGAAGTAGCATAATCCTTAAAGGATACTAGGAGGGAGGTGCAGTAAGTAGCCCTGTTCTCGAGGGGGAAACCGAGGCACAGAATGTTCCTTGTTAGTCACACACCTGGTGAGTGGCCATCTGGGACTCAAATCAGCCTCTGAAGGGTCGGGGACGTAGAGTCCCCGACCAGGACGGACCTCTCTCTGAAGACCACCCCTTGGTCGGTCCCTCTGCAAAGGCTCTGGAGCCCCCCGGCTGGCAGGGCTGTTTCCCTGCTCTGTACAGACTCTCCTCTGATGATTTCTCACCCAACCAGTGGGTGTCGGGGCCACCAGCACCTCTGGGCCATCAACAGTGACTATCCATGACCCTGGTGGCCCAACTCACATAATGACACTGTTCAAAAAAGGTGCAACTGTGGACCAATGTTGACACAGGGCAGGGAAGAGTCAGTCACATAGGATGTGTCACACGCAGGGAGCCAGGTGCACAACTTTCCAATCTAACTTTCATTTCCTTTTTTTTGTTGTTCATATAAGGAAATATGTGCTAAAGGAGACTTAGTGAGCCACATTTTAAAATCTGGATCTTTTTACATAGAAGTTCAGATTCCTTAGAAAATAGGAAGATTTAGCCTCGCCTTGCAGCTGAAGCAGGTGGCAGAAGCTGAGTCAGAGCCGGTCCCTTCACGAGCCCGCCTGTGTGTGACCCAACACCTGAGGTCTAACCCATGTTATAAAGACGAGAAGCACCTTGACATGGTGGCCATGGCGGGGCTAACGTACCTCCCCACTTGGCTTCAGTTCGTGGGTGATTTATTTTATTATTTCACATTTTTATTGTGTTTTTTCTCTTATTTCTCTTCCCCAGGGGCATAGGCAGGTAAGGGAGGAGGGCAGAGGGGCAGATTCTATTCTTTACACTATTTTCCGAAGTCCCCCCACCCCTCCGTATCTCCTCTCTTCTAGGAAAGGCCCTGGGGAACAGCCCCACTGCGGGTAGTGAGGTCCCGGTTTGCAGTCCCCAGGAGCGGGGTTCACGTGCATTAGAAAAGGAAGCCCTCCTGAGCCCCTGCTCCTCACGCCATGAGTGAGGTCGCAGACTGGGCTTGTATCTGGTTCCCAGCTGCAGGACCCTGAGCCCCTCTGCCACCTCCAGAGAGGGGCCCCAGCTGCCTTGGAAGCTGCCATCACCAGTGCCTCAGCAGACAAGCAGCAGTTTCATTGTTGCTATGGAAACTCTCCCCAGGACCCTGTGTCCTGGGAAAAAGGAGCATCCCAAAATATGAATAAAACCCCATAAAACGTGGAAGTGTGTGTGTATGTATGTGTCCCTGGCAATGACAACAGTTCCCACTGGGCTGAATGGGTCCTACGTGCCTATCTTGTACTGGTTGGAGGAAAACTCATACCTCCTCCCACGCCAGGGTCTGCAGCCTGAGGGCCCCGCTGCCGGCTGGGCACGGTCCCAGCCATGCAGCTCTCCTGGCAGTGCTGGACCTTGCTCTCCTGGCTCTGCACAGCTGGGTCCCATGCAGGCCTGACAACTTCTAAGGCTCTCTTCGTGATGGGCTCAACTCCCCCCCATAGTGACCCACTGTGATTTACAAACCAGTCACAAAGCACTTTTAGGGGCACAGGAACATGCCACCATGAACAGGCCAAAGAGCCTCCACACATGCTGGGAATTTTCCGATCCTCTCAGAAGCTTTGGGCATCCTTCCCCACACCCTGCTCACTGACTCAAAGAGCTATTCCTGTGTCCAGTACTGGGATTCTTCCCAAGATCACAGAGGAAATTCATGTGCTTGTTGTCCACTAACGCTCCTGGGATTGTCAGAGGGTAGATGGGACTGTCTGCATGAGGCTTTCAGCTCCAGAGAGGAATATTTCTATTCTGTTTCTTCATTCCTGTTTTTCTTCTTTATTCATTCAACCAACATTTATTGGGACCCACTATGTACCCTGAAGCTTGGGACACACCTTCTGCCCATAGGACATGAGCAGGCACCTTGCCCCAAGCTGTGTCCCCTGCCCCAGCAGACATGCCGGACCCTGATAGCTGGTTGTATGGCCTTCCTTGATCTGCTCCCGACCCACAGAGCTCAGCCGCCTTGCCCCAGTCCCACTCTGCTCCGGCCGCACTAGCCTCCCTGCCCTGCTGGGGCTTCCCGACAGACGCCTGCAGGGACAGCACAGACAGCACCGTGGCAGTGGAGATGTGCTTCTGGCAATGGGTCCCGAACAGAGCAGAGGGCAGTCTACGAGCCACACTGCCTGAGTTCGAATCCCAGCCCTACCGCCTCCAGCTCTGTGACCACAGGCTCATGACTTGGGCTTGGTTTTCTTCTTCTGGATTAATTATTCCTTAGCATTATCAATTTGTAAATGGTCAATTAACAACTGGTTAAGTCACTAGTGTTGATAGTTAATTATGAGCCAGAACCCGGTTTATACAGGTGTCTGAATATTACATGACTTAGAGTCATCCCTGGCATCTCTTAAGTCCTGTGTCACCTCACTCCCTGAATATAAGAGCCCCCGACTCCCCTCCCCCAGTACAGCATCACGCAGTACAGCAGAGGTGTAGGCGGGACGCTGAGGGCTGGGACAAGGGAGCTGTACGCATATGGCGGCAATAGGAAGGCCGCTGCCATCATTAGCCGTTCCCCCAGCTAATGCTGAGAGCTGAGTGCTGTGCTGTTTATAACAGACTCAGAGAAGCTGAGTGACCTGCTTACGACCACACAGAGCCCAGACGCCGGCCCACCAGTGGCAAACCTGAGAGCCAGCGTACGCCTGAGCACTGACCCTTTCCTGGCCTGAGGCCACTAATGAGCAAACGTTTTTCCCCATGATGTACCACCGGGGGAGCACACGGGCATTTGGAGGCTCGAAGAGCCAACCTGGTTGGGGAGAACAATCATGCAGCTGTTTAATTATGCTATTATTGCAGCTAATGTTTGCGCTTCTGTTTATTTTGGAAGTGGGCACTGCCAAATGCAGCCCATGTAATCTTTATTTAGCTTTGGGGAGGAAGTTATTGGTGAAAGGACTAAACCATTTTCCTCACAACTGAGCTCACAAACTGCTCCAGGCAGGCTGGGGTGGCCTCGGGATCACGGGAGTAAGGGGCAACACCACCTTTGTGAACTCCTCCTTAGTGGCCAAGGTGGCGAGGACTCTCAGATTCAGTGGATGGCAACAGCTCTTAAATTTCTTAGGCTAATGAACCAATGAATCAGAAAAAGCATAGATGTGTAAAAATATATACATCCCCTGGAGGGACGGAGCTGCAGGTTAATTATGATGGATGTGCAGCTTGCAGATGGGCTGGGACAGGGTGTTACCTGTCCCTTCAAAGCCCAGCCCCTCCAGCTACTGCGCGGTTATCTGCTTCCTTTCTCTACGAAGTGCTAAGAAGTCTGTCTCTGCTCCCCCTGCGCATCCTCACTCCCCGCGCCCCCTCTGGTGTTTTGGGCTGCCGCCCTCCTACCCAGATGGCCTGGGGCTCCCTGCTCTCGGAGCCAGGGTCCCCCTCTGCCCCGGGGCCAGTCCTCAGCAGCACTGAGCAGGGGCGTCCGCCAGGAAATGCCTGGCAGCCAAGGCCGGAACCCACATCTGCCTGGTGTCCCCATCTGCCTCTGCTGATCCTCTCCCCGCCGCTGGTTCCCCAACACTGGGGTGACCACTGCTCCACATATAATCTTTCCTCAGTTGATGTTATCCTGCAACATGGTGTCACCTGCCAATTACACTCACACTCCCAAATGAAGTCTACACTCCCAAGCAGCCGCCTGCACACCACCTCCACGTGGGTGTGCAGGGGGCATCTCCAGTTCAGCCCATCCGAAATCAAGTTCTCGGTCTTCTTTCTCAAAGTGCCTCCTTCCCCAGGCTGCCCATCTTAGCAATGACACCACCATCCTCTTAGTTCCTCCAGACAAAAGCCAACAGTCATTCTTGATCCCCCTTCCCTCCTCCCTCCACGTCCAAATCTGTAGACAGTCTGTCAGTTGGCACCAAGCCCTTTCCCAGATCGGCCCCTTTCTCCACACCCAGGCCATCACTGCAAGGCCAGCCACCATCACCTCTGCCCTGGACCACAGCCAGACCTACTGGGGTCTTCCTGCCACAGACCCACCTCTCAGCACATGCGTGCTTGTGACACAAGGTGAGGCCCTGACACCTGTTATTATGCAGCTCCTCCCCAGCTGAGGCTGACCTCGGTGTGCCAGCCACCTGTCCCGTTGCTCTCGGAGCTGCATTTTCCCCACACCCTTGCCCCTGCTTTCAGGGGATGGGCCAACAGGAGGCACTGAGGTCCAGAAGAGGAGAGAAGCTGGCTGTTTCTCCCTGTCTCTGCTTCCTGGGTGGTCTCTGCAGGTGGCTCTTTCTCCTCTGGGGCTGTAGCTCATCCTGGGCAGCCCCCACCAAGGCCTCAGCCTCTGGCTCCTGGGAACACATCACCCCCATTGTCTCTTCTGCCTCAGAGGTGGTAACAGCTTTCTGCTGTGTGTATTCGACTTCCCACCTCTTTTGTGGCCTGTGTGGCCAACCCCTGCATTGAAGTCCCTCCAAGGAAAACACCTGCCTTTCGACAGGAGCCTGGCTGAGAGACTGAAGGAAATGGATGAAGCTAACTCCA